GTCTCTCTGCTCAGTGAGGAGCCTGCTACCCCCTCTCCTTCTTCCTGCCACTCTGCCTACTTGTGATCTCTCTCTGTCAGATAAATAAATAAAATTAAATTAAGTTTAAAAAAAAAAAAGAGCCAGCCCAGTTGGGTTTTTTGAACCAACCAGTTTCTTAAATTGCTGAATATCAAAGTTGAAACAACTCTGCATACTTACGAAGTCCAAGGACCATTTTTCTTTAAGGCAGCTCTTCCTTTTCCTTGATAAGCTCTAGGAAGCCAGGTTGTATGCTGTCTCCACTATGGACCCAATACCACGTCAGGAGCCCTTGGGGCAGACGTGTGTATGATGGTTCATTCCCAGATGGCTATAAGTCTGTTCCCACTGCAGGCCAGTTCAAAGTTGAAAATTGGCTGAGTGACCAAACCTTCCAACTCTTCCTCTAGACAGGAGTGTCCAGGGGATACAGGATAAAGAAATTCCCACACACCCAGCCTGTGCCCTCCTTCCCCATCACCCCCACGCCAGTCTGACACACCCTTCCGCACTGTGGGTGGGGAAGAGCCAGCAAGCCACGCCTGCCCACAGGTGAGCTACTCGTAATGGGATTGAGTTTTCGAGGGGTGAGGTAGGTGACAGCTACAGGTAGCCAAAGGTGAGATTTCTAAGGCATGGGGACATCATGTGACTCAAATGTCCTACTGGCCTCACACCTGCACCCCTCCAGGCCATCTGGATGGTAGGGGGAGATCTGAGCTCACACTCCAGCAAATGAAGGATGAACTAGATGTGCTCAGGACATCTTTTGCTGGAGTAAAAAGGCAGGAGCAGGGGGCTGGGAGAACAGTGCTTCAGTCCCTTGTCCTAGCCAGGCTGTCCCCATTGGCCACTGGGAGACAGCTGGAGTCCAAGCAGGCTGGAAGGTTGAACTCCACCATGTGCTAAAGCTTTCTGCTCCTTTTTTATTTTTATTTTTTAATTCTTTCTTTCCTTAAAAAACAAAAAAAACAAAAACTGTAGCTCACAGACAACAGAGGAAGGAACAACATAAAAGTTATGGAAAAAAACCCTCACCTTTCAGATCTGGTGCTCATAAAACCAGATCCAGTTTGAGGGGCCAACAGTGCCCTGGTGTTTTCCACAGCTGCCCTTCATGGATTTTCATGTTACTTTATAGCCCTGGGGCTTTCTGAGACTCTGTTGGGGGCAAACCCTACATCCTGCTGGCCTTCCTATCTGTGCTCATTCAGCCTCCTGAAAATCAAATTACTTGGTTTTGCCTTTTTTAGCAACTCTAGCTCATCATTGCTCCATTAAACTTTTATGGGACTTGTACCCTCTCAGTCTGCTTGCCAAAACTTGACTTCAAGTTTTCCTAGAAGAGTCAAGAGACGATGTCCCTAGTCAAGTAAGTTTAGGAAATGCTACACAGAATTTTCTGGGAGGTTCACAGTGCCTGCGTGCATACTACGAGCAGTGAGAAGACCAGCAGTCACCAGCCCTTCTCAAACCCACCTAACACATACACTCCTCACACAAGACATCCTGCAAATCCTAAATCCTGCTTGCTCACACAACTAAGCCACGTATTACCCACCCAGGCGGGTGCTTTGGGGACTGTGTGAACCCCAGTGCAAGACCCAACATTTATTCCTGGAGTACCTTATCTTGTTACACTCAGCCCCACCCACCCAGCCTGTCAAGGTCTTTTTGGAACTCAAGTCTTAGGACCATATTTGTCTTGGACTCACGTCTCTCTAGCAAATGCTTCCACAAGCACACACACATCTGCAGGAAAAGAGTAGCTCATCGGTGAAGCTAGTCGCAGCTCTTCAACACGGCTGGCTTGTTGAGTTCTGCACGCACTGCCCCTCTTGGGAGGCATGCTTGGGCAAGATCCTTCCGGAGTATCAGGGATGAGTTTTATGTGGTTTCCAAGGAGATGCATTCATCTGAAGTTGTTTTTCCATTCAACGGCCCCAAAGTGAAAAGTGGTTGTGGGGAAGTTGAGTTATGACCTAATGCCAGTAGCAGCTGCTGGTAACTACCGGGAAAGGGTGAGGGAGCTGGTGGCTGGGAGTTGGGGGCTCATTAACACCCACTTCTTAAATTAGCAAATCCTTCTAGTACAAGTTTAAAAATAGAAACCTAATGGTTTCTAAAATTAGCACTCATGGCTCTCCATAAATGTTTAGACCTCCCATAAACTTCTGGTCCACTTCCCTAGACTAATGGGGTCAGGGAGGCTTAGCTTCTGTTCCACATTCTTGAGGATCAGTGTACTTAATGATTGACCTTGACAAGCTAGAGCTTTGAGAAGCCTCAGAATGTCCTGGACCAGGGACAGGCTGCAGGGCCATCAGCCTGGGGACAGCCTCCAGGCAGGACTGGAAGCATCCTAAAGGCCATCTGGAAAAGTCCGAAGCCTGTAGGCTTCCTGGAGGAACCAAGGGTCTGGTTTGGCCTGGGACTATCCCGATTTCACACTGAAAGCCTCCCCGTCTCCAGCAAACCAGAATGGTCGGTCACCGTGGCTACCTGGACCACTGCAAAAGGACTGAGACCAATGTTCTGGGCCGTCTTTGGGGAGAAAAGTCAACTCTCCAGAAGGCACCGATGATACCCATCCCCACCTCTCCCCACCCCCAGGAGGTCTTCACACCAGTGTCACTATTTACTTGAGCAAGTGTTTGAAGGAGGAATTAAACTACAGAGAAGACCAGCCAGGAGAGGCACAGTACTTCATCCCCCGCTCCCAGCTGCTCCGCGTATAAAACAGGATAAACAGCTGCTGCATCCCTGGGTTATGGGGAATAAACCGGGAAGCACTGTGTCTGCGCAGCGCCCGGCACCGCTTACATCGGGAAGTTGGCGCTTTGGGTGTCAGCTCGGCCAGGCTGCTCAGCACATGGGAAGTGGGGGGGGCGTCGCTGAAGCAGCCCTGGCCCACACAGCAGAGTGACCCCTGGGTGGGACCGTCTCCTCCCTCACAGTGACTACAGGACAGCCAGTCCTGCTATGGGCGGCAGGGACTTGCCAGGGTCCCCCCCACACACACCCCCACCCCGAGCCCAGCATCTCCACAAACAGGGCCCTTGCTGAGTGGAGGGAAAAATCTTTCATGGGGAGACAAGGTGCAGGTGGCCAGTCAGTGTGAAATGTGTGTGAAAAACACGATGTCCTGAACAAATCATCCTTGTACAGGTGTGGGCGTTTTTGTGGGTTTTTTTTAAGATTTTATTTATTTATTTGACAGACAGAGATCCCAAGTAGGCAGAGAGGCAGGCAGAGAGAGAGGAGGAAGCAGACTCCCTGCCGAGCAGAGAGCCCGATGCGGGGCTCGATCCCACGACCCTGAGATCATGACTTTAGCTGAAGGCAGAGGCTTAACCCACTGAGCCACCCAGGTGCCCCCAGGTGTTTTAACCTTAATATTGTCTCCACTGTCAGAGAACTGTGTGTCTGTTCAGCACCACAGTGTTTTGCTGTCCCCTGATCTGGCTTGTTAACTTGCACAGAACCAAGAATCACCTGCTATGAGGCTAAGACATCTCAGCCCAATACGTAGTTTTAAATCCAGCAAGAGGATGGTACAGGCCCCCGGTGGAAATGTGACGTGTTCGTTACTACCCAAATCCTGCACTACAATGGAACAGGGACTTGTCCACCAAGGACCCAGACTTCAAGACCATCGCGGGGAGCGTCTGTGTGGCCCAGGTGGGAGAGACCCTACCGACCCACAGCTTGCTCCCTGCAGCCTTCCCTCGCTTAACTGAGATGAAGGAAGAAGTGGGTTTTGCCTACTGGGTTCTTCCTTGGCTCTGGATGCTTCGGTGACTTGTCATCTGCAGAGAACCATCCCTTTTCTGTCCTCAGGACCAGGAGACACTTTGGGTCCACGGAGTCGAGCTCCCTCATATTAGAGAAAGAAGCTGAGCCCGGAAAGACCCCCTGAGAGTCACCCAGCGGGTGGGGGTGGCAACACGGATGGTCACCCTGTCCCAGGCCAGAGAGGAGACCGCGGGTCCACTGGGGTATTTCTGCTCGCTGGCCCACCCACCTTCCTTTCTTCCTCCCTTACTCTTTCCTCACTTCCTTTTCCCTGCTTCTCTCCTTCCTCCCTTCTAATATTTCCTGAGTGTCCCCTAGCTGTCTGTCACTACATAGGTCCTGGGTCCTTGCCCCGCACAATGTGCTGGATTTTGCCATGGTTAGAATTTTTAAACCTTTGAAATGGCTCTGCATTCCTGTCTCTCTGGAAGGTCGGTAGCAGTACCCGGTTCACAGCAAACTCACCCCTCTGCAGAGAGGTGTGAGAGGAGGTGGCCTGCTGGAAGGGGTGGTTGCTGATTTGTGGTCCTGCACCAGCACCTCAGGCATGGTGACCTTGGTCATTCCTGGCCCCTGGCATCCGTGGGCAATCTCTAAGTTCACATCCAGCTCCAGAATTCTGGAAGAAAGTATCAGACCTGCCTGTGGGTACAAACCCTCTCACGTCCCGAGAGCACAGGGAAGTCACCCACTTTTGGAAGACATCTCATCCTGACTGGCAATCCGAGGCTAATTTCTAAGTCATAGGTGGCACACACCTTAACTCTTGTCAGTCCCTGTGCTGCTTTAACAACTAAAGTGACCACTAATCAGAGGGTACGGAATGAGATTCGAACGCAGCATTAGTGTTTTAGGGTGGACATAGGTAGAACTTTCCACAAGGCTTGCTAAGTGCTGACAGATCAGGAGAGGGGCTGTGGACTGCCCTTCCTTGGGGTCCTTGGGAAGCACAGGCCAGCCAGATGTCTGCCTTCCTCCCTTCCCCTTCCAGCCTTCCGGGGAAAACTGTCTTTGAGGGCAGCATACTCCATCTCCCAATGAAGTCGCGGAAACTATTTTTAAAACTCTTAATTGTTCTACCAACTGCCTATGGAAAACTCAGTTGGTGGCAGAAATAAATGCATCAAAAGATAATCTTTAACCCATTTCCTCTCTCTCCCCGCCCCGCCTCCCGGCTTCATTAGGACTGCGGCGGGCGCCTGAGCGAGCCCGGCAGCCGGCCACCGGGGCCATGGCCAGCGCGGCCGTGCAGCTGCTGGGCTTCCTGCTCAGCTTCCTGGGCCTGGTGGGCGCGCTGATCACCACCCTCCTGCCGCACTGGCGCCGCACGGCGCACGTGGGCACCAACATCCTGACGGCCGTGTCCTACCTGAAGGGGCTGTGGATGGAGTGCGTGTGGCACAGCACGGGCATCTACCAGTGCCAGATCTACCGCTCGCTGCTGGCGCTGCCGCGAGACCTGCAGGCGGCCCGCGCGCTCATGGTCATCTCCTGCCTGCTGTCGGGCGTGGCCTGCGCCTGCGCCGTGGTGGGCATGAAGTGCACCCGCTGCGCCAAGGGCGCGCCGGCCAAGACCGCGTTCGCGGTGCTGGGCGGCGCGCTCTTCGTCCTGGCCGGCCTGCTGTGCATGGTGGCCGTGTCCTGGACCACCCACGACGTGGTGCAGAACTTCTACAACCCGCTGCTGCCCAGCGGCATGAAGTTCGAGATCGGGCAGGCCCTGTACCTCGGCTTCATCTCCTCGTCCCTGTCGCTCATCGGTGGCACCCTGCTCTGCCTGTCCTGCCAGGACGAGGCGCCCTCCAGGCCCTACCAGGCCCAGCCCAGGGGCGCCCCGGCCACCACCGCACCCGCCTACCGACCCCCCGCCGCCTTCAAGGACAACCGGGCCCCCTCGGCCACCTCGGCCTCGCTCAGCGGGTACAGACTGAACGACTACGTGTGAGTGCCCAGGGCCTGTCCCTCCCCGAGCTCACAGACGCAGCAGGACCCGGGCTCGCACCCGTGCCGTGTCCCAGCACCCAGCTGACTTCTGGCCTACTCTTTGGTGTCCAGAGGAATAATATGAACAGGAGGGAGTGGGCATAGAACACAGAGAAGGAAGGAAAAAAAGGGGGAGAAAAGCTCTATATACCAAAGACTTCATCCTTTCTGGCTTTTTATTTATTATATGTATTTATGTGGGTGATTTAATAACCGCTGAATGAAAGGCAGCTTGGGAGTTTGGTCTGTGGGGTTTGTTTGCAATATAGGAATAAACCTTTGGATGTGGTTGTTAGTGAAAAGGACAGTATCTGCTTCCGTTTCCAGTCTGTTCTGTCTGCTGGGGTCTTATGACCACAGCACACTGTCAGGGCCCCATGTTGCAAAGCAATGGGGACACTCCGGGAGTGGCCCCAACCCACACATGATGAGAAAAACAGAGAAGGGCTGGGCTGACGTTTGTCTAGAAGCTGCTTGAGCAGCACCCACTGAAAACAGTCACTCCAGCTGAAGCCCAGAGGCAGGGCAGGAAGTACAGGACTTCCTAGGAGGAAAGATGGTTGTCAGAAACCCCATGGTAAATATAATGTTTTCTACCGGTAGCCCCCTCTAGTAAGGAAGCGAATGTCAGCATTAAAAACATAGCAAAAGGAGCCTCGTTGTTTGGCTCTCTGGGCATTGGCAAGAAGCCCAGTTAGGAGCACTGCTTGTGCCCAAGGGCTGCACAGGACACCACTGGCTTTTTTTTCTGGGGACAGACGCAGGGTGGCAGCTGCCATCAGAGGGGTAATGAGTATGTTGGCCTCTCCTTTAGCTGGAAAGAAGTGCTGAGAGGACCAGATGAGCTCTGATTGCTTTAAGAACACTCTGATGGGGGGCGCCTGGGTGGCTCAGTGGGTTAAGCCTCTGTCTTCAGCTCGGGTCATGATCTCAGGGTCCTGGGATCGAGCCCCATGTCGGGCTTCCTGCCCAGCGGGGAGCCTGCTTTCCCCCTCTCTCTGTCTGCCTCTCTTCCTAATTGTAATCCCTCCTGCTGTCAAATAAATAAATATATTAAAAAAAAAAAAAGAACACTCTGATGATGCTTTCTGGCTGTGATCTAAATCTCACGATCAGAGAGCTGTACATGGTCACACACACACACACACACACACACTGCTCTCCCATTAGCCTGGGGACCATGGTCCTCCGCTACGTCCATCCATTTCATAGCCTTGCCCATTATGTGTCCTGTGGTGCCCTGCTCTTGCCTCTGTCCAGAACCTCAAGTTCTGAACGTGTAAAGAACATACCCTGTCCTGTGGAAGGGTCGACCTGACACCTAGACATGGGGCAGCAATTACAGAAATCCCTCCATTCTCAAGGGGTGTTGGAGAAAGACCACCAGGGCTCCGGCTGCCACCGTCTGCAAAGTAGAGAGCCACACCAGGTAGGACAAACATGGAGCCAGCTGGCAACTGGTGCCAGGGCCAGTGGGGGTGGAAGGGGAGCCTCCCAGACAAGAGTCAAAGGGCCAGGCCGGCCGCAGCCTGGATCCCCTGAACCCAACAAGGCCCGAGGTGGGTTTATACTCTGCTGACTTCCTGCTTCCTCCTGACAGCGTCCTCCAGGCGCTCAGACCAGGAAAATGAGATGGTAACAAGAAACCCAGCCACCATGTACTTCTCCTGCAGGCAGAGGCTCTCAGGAGTAATGTGTGTCCACTGAGAGACCCTCTGGTTCCTTGAGGCCTTACCAGTTAAGGCCTTACCTTAAACTACCCATTGCTGACTTCTGACAAGAAGAGAAGCTTCTTGACATGGAGAAGTGGAGGTTAAAGGAGCAGCCCTATACCACTTTTTGTCGACCTTATGACCCCAGACAACCTCTGTTTGGAAGGTGTGGGTGCAGTACGTGTTAGCCTTTATCTGACCACAGAGAAGCTGGGAGGGCTGGGATCTGCCATCCCGTCAGGCCAGGGAGTTAGACCAGAAAGTTCATCGTTCATGTAGGATGAAACAAGAAATTTTGACCTACTATTTAAATTACAAAAATAAATCAATCTGAACCAATAAAGAAGGGAACTAAAATCTTCTAGAAACAGAACGACATTCTGTCAGTCCTGCCGTGATGGTCATGGTCTAGAAGGTATCTGGTGAAGTTACGCTAGGTAATAGACTTATTACAAATGAAAGAAAAAAATAAAATGACTTTTTTTTTTCAAATGCTTTCTTTAATTCTGTCACTGCTGTAATAAAATGTGTCCCTATCTCCTACTCAAGGGAAAGACCAATGACAGTAGTGCTTACAGTTTATTGGTAACTTACCATGTGCCAGGCATACTTTCTGTTTACTAATTTGTTCCAATGAGAACCATGAGAACCCAATGAGATAAACACTATTCCCTTCCCCCCGTTTAACAAGGGGGGGGGAATTAAAGCACAAAGAGATTAGTTACTTGCCCAGGGTCACAGAGCCTGTGAGTAAAAGGCCCAGGATTCAAAGCCAGACAGGTAAGCAGGGAGCAAATATGTTCCCTCAAGTAGTGTCATGACCCACAGTCTAATTACTTTTATATCCAGACTATTTCCAAATAATTAAGACATTAGTCCATGACCACGTATGGTTCTGTCTACATCATCTCTCCGTAGAGCTTCTGTTAACTGGGCTCTAGCTGGACTGGTGAAACATGATGATGTCAGACCCAGAGGTCCAAATCTGGGTCCCCATAGAAAGCAGGAAGCAACACACAAGAAGGGACACGTGGATGGCTCTGTCCTATGACTGGCCAGCCCGAACAAGAAGTAGGTCTGAACAGGACCTCAATTCTCTCTCTCAAGTAACAGGGTGTAAGAATGCAGTTCCCAGTTTCCTCCTTCACTCCCAGGACAAGTACCTCAGGCCACGCAGGACCCTCTTTTGCCAAATTACCACCAGGGCCAACAAATAGATATGCCTTTTTCCATTTTTGCCCAAACCTTCAGGACTGGGCAGTCTTAACCAAGCTTGCTTTGATGACAGTATGATCTCTTTTTGGAGGTACAACGCACAGCCCCAAATTTCAGAATAAAAAGGAAACCTAAGTCACCGTTGTTATGGATATAAATTATGATGACTCTCATGGGATAAGAAATGCTACATTTCTTTGCTTCTCTAAATCAAACCAAGTTTGGCTCTGCTCCAGAGAGGTCTAAAGCCTGCCATGTTTTCCGGTTCCCTCCCCTGCATTTAGGATGTCTCTGGGCCCCAGCACTAAGGGAGGCCCTGAATGTGTAGGGGTGAAGGCCAGTCTTTAGTCCTGGGGGATGCCTTGTTACCTACTGACTGCCGGCGCCGATGCCTTCACAGCCCAGGGCCTCTCCATGCCCCTCCTCGGCCACCGCCCGTCCATCACCACAGTCTTGCACGTCATGTCCCAGGGCCTCCCTGGCCCCGTGTGAGCAGACGCTGGAAACCTGCACCCTGTGAACCCCTGTACCCGGCCCAGTCCCTGGGAAGCCACTTGACAAGCTGGAGCCACGCCCCTCCCATACTTGAAGCACCTGGGTGTCCCCTCTTGGATAACACACTCTGATTGCTTTCATGGGTTTTGTCTCTTGAAATCAAAGGCCTCTGACATCTCGCAGAGAACCCTGCTTTCATGTCACCCACTGTCACCCTAAATGGAAACAATCTGAGAACTCTGGCTCACTCACGATCTATACAACAATCATGTACTACTTTGTAGCGATAAACTGAAGACAGCCAGGATTTCGCCCTCGGTGCCTGGCCCCAAAGGCCCATACTTGGCCACAATGCTACCCTGCTTCTCCCTGCCTTGGTACCTCCTTGCTTTCTCCCTGCCGGGCAGAGGGAATGGCATAAATGGCAACAATCCGGGCAGGAGATGCGGGTGTGGACCAGGTGGCAGGATGGAAGGGAAAGAAGAGAACAGGATGTGCCTGGATGCAGAGCCTGCAGGATTTACTGAGGTCCTGCTTCTGGTGTGGAAAAAAAAAAAAAAAAAGGCTTCAAGGTTGATGGCAAGATTTGGGGCTGGATCAACTGGAAGAATGGGGTTACTATTTTCTGAAGTGAAGAATATTCTGGAAAGAAAATGTTCTGGTCTGCTAAGGTAGATTAAATCCATTTTCCAGGGCTTTGGTCTGAGCTGCCTCCAGTGCAGATGTGGAGCGGACTGAAGTCCAGGGAGAGGTCACTTTTGGGGCCCTCAGCCCAGGAAGGCCACGTAAGTCAGCAGCTGGAAAGGATCACATTGGAAGTGAACCCAGATGAGAAGTCAAAGAGGCCAGAGATGTTCAGGTTTGGATAGATCTAGCCAGCAGCCAGAGGGGCAATGCCCAGTGAGCAAGAACTAAGAAGAGGATGTTCTCGAAACCAAGGAGAAGGGAGTGATCAGAAGCTTTAAATGAACTTGACCTTCACAGTCAGGTGGGATGGGGGCTCTATGACGGGCTTCATTTGCAGGGGAGGCACTGGACTTAGAAAAGTAAAGGGAAAGCTGAGGGTTGCCAGGCAGAGACAGCAAGCTACCCAAGTGGAAAGTGGACACACTGAGGTTAGAACACTCTTGTTGCCAGTTCGTAAGGTTGCAATAGCCCTCAGGGAAAATCTGCAGCTCCCGCATAAGCTTTAAGGCAGACCTACCATGGATTTTCCCCTGAGATAACACATCAGGAGTCTTCTAGCCCAGTTCTGTCCTAGTTCCCAGGGCCTCCACGCCACCTTAATACTTTTGAATATAAAGATAAAAGGTAGCTACGTAAGATTCAAAAGGGAAACCAATGAATTTGAAACGTGTTGTCAAAATATTTATAAAGTATGACATTACTAGCGACAGTTGTGCTCCTTTGTGAATGCACTGCATGACAATACTCCGTAATAAATACTGTCAGGCCAAAAACAATAATCAGCATAAATAGTATTTTAAGAAATTTGCAAAGCAAATTGTTCAGATGACTTAAAGACCCATCACATCGCTTAAAACCCCATCACATGAAAGACTTCGTGCAACCAGAAATTCAAATTTCCTTCTGCACA